TACAATGGAGAGGTCCTAGAAACCGCGTTCAGACTTTAGGCCATATTTATGGCCAGGCTATATTGCGGCCCCTGGCGAGAGCCAGAGTAGGGTTTCAAATTTAAAAAAAAATTCTTCCTTATAAGGACGCAAAGTATAAAAATTATAGTACTGGTTTTTGTTTTTTTAACTGACTGACTTTCTACCCCGCTAGGACATCACACAAGCGATAAACACCCGATGACACAAAGTGCCACCATGTGGATGAGGATCACCGTGGAAAGGTCCCAGAAACCGTTCAGACAATTGGCCAAATTTATGGCCTGCCTATATTGCAGCCCCTGGCAAAAGCCAGAGTAGGGCTTCAAATAACAAAAAATTACGTCCTAAAAAGGACGTAAGGAATAATTATAAGTTTTTTTTTTTTAAAGTGAGCTGCGTATTATATACAGGAAGTTGCAGAATCAACCCAGCATGTTGTTTTATCTGTCTTGTTCCTGCTGCTGGAATCAAACCGGGTGCCTGGTAATTACAAAATCCGTTCGCAATGTTTAAGGCACGGACGGTGCAGCGTCGAATGTGAAGGCAAACGCTGACCTCCGCAAAGGTGGACACAAGACATTAAAGATGCTCCCCATGAGGGTTCTGGGTTCTCATCGTGGGAAAAACAAGAACAGACACGCTACCTCTTCACCAAGCATGATGTAGAAGTCGACTAATTGGCAGCTTCCTTCGAAGACGGAGTGCATCTGCATAGCCAGCAAGGAACCACCAACTGCAAAAATAAGCAAGTAAAACCGGCTGTACACGAAAAACTCAGGCCCTGGTATAAAGCCAAAGTGACTACCCAATGCGTACGGGAAGAAGCGTGAACAGACTGGCTGACTATTATCAATCGCTGGCACTAACACGATTGCGTGTCTTAGAGTAAAGCTTGATGAAGAAAATGAATACCGTCTTTAAAGCAAGGACGTCATAATGTAGCACATTCTTTGCCGAATATCGTTCTCATCAGGGTCTGCCTGAAAGCCACTCAGTCTCTCGCCAGCTCTCCCGCCTCGCGTACTTTCATATTTAAAGATTCATATCCTGCGTTCATCTTCGCGTTGGTCGACCTCTGCCCCTTCTTCTTGTTACCATGGATTCTGCCTTTTTTTTTTTTTTTTTAAATCCACCAGGACGATTAATATGAGCAACAGATTTCAGCTTCCGAGACAAGATGCTGTTTATTTAGCCAATCTTTCTGGATATTGGGATTTTTTTTTATTTTTAATATCAGCTTTTCTCCTCTTCTTTATCCACGATATTCTGAAAATCTTTCTATTGCATTTCAGCTCACATTGCCCTCTATTCTCTCTTAAGGACTGGAAGATAGGCCATGACTCACATCTGTATGTTGCTATGAGGAAGATGCATGCTCTCAAAATTTTAATTTTAATTTTATTTCTGGTGCTTGACGATAGACTTTTAATGCAGTTTAATCTTTATATCGAGATTGCCTTCATTGTTTTGACTTCTGTAGAACAGTCTCAATTACTATTTATTATGGAACCTAGATATTCACAGTCTGTGTCGTTTTCAAGGGGAGACAGGAAATACGATAACCATCTTCTCATGACAAGAACCAGCAACGATATTTTGGAGTAGCTGCTGCATATGAATGCCCATATGAAGTAATGTCGATTGTGATAACATAAACATAAGTACCAGCACCTTTTGTGACATTTGGACACGTTAAGTGCCATGACCTTGTTTTAGGACACGATAAGTACCAGCACCTTGTTTTAGGACACGTTAAGTGCCATCACCTTGTTTTAGGACACGATAAGTACCAGCATCTTGTTTTAGGACACGTTAAGTGCCATCACCTTGTTTTAGGACACGTTAAGTACCAGCACCTTGTTTTAGGACACGTTAAGTACCAGCACCCTGTTTTAGGACACGTTAAGTACCATCACCTTGTTTTAGGACACGTTAAGTACCATCACCTTGTTTTAGGACACGTTAAGTACCATCACATTGTTTTAGGACACGCTAAGTACCAGTACCTTGATTTAGGATACGTTAAGTACCAACACCTTGTTTTAGGACACGTTAAGTACCTGCACCTTGTTTTCGGACACGTTAAGCACCACAACCTTGTTTTAGGACACATTAAGTCCAGCACCTTGTTTTAGGACATATTAAGCACCATCACCTTGTTTTAGGACACATTAAGTACCGGCACCTTGTTTTTGGACACGTTAAGTACCAGCACCTTGTTTTTGGACACATTAAGTACCAACACCTTGTTTTTGGACACATTAAGTACCGGCACCTTGTTTAAGAACACATTAATTACCGGCACCTTGTTTTAGGACACGTTAAGTACCGGCACCTTGTTTTTGGACACGTTAAGCACCACAACCTTGTTTTAGGACACATTAAGTACCAGCACCTTGTTTTAGGACATATTAAGCACCATCACCTTGTTTTAGGACACATTAAGTACCGGCACCTTGTTTTTGGACACGTTAAGTACCAACGCCTTATTTTTGGACACGTTAAGTACCAACACCTTGTTTTTGGACACATTAAGTACCGGCACCTTGTTTAAGAACACATTAATTACCGGCACCTTGTTTTAGGACACGTTAAGCACAATCACCTTGTTTTAGGACACATTAAGTACCAGCACATTGTTTTAGGGCACGTTAAGTACCATCACCTTGTTTTAGGACACGTTAAGTACCATCACCTTGTTTTTGGACACGTTAAGTACCGGCACCTTGTTTTTGGACACGTTAAGTACCGATACCTTTTGTATCAAATAGAAAACATTATAGGATTGTTTCAGGCAAGACCGTCTACATCTGACACACACATATATACACACAGCAATAATTCTCTGGTTTTTTTTTTTTTTCTATGTGCCGCATCACTCAGTGTTGTGGTTTTCTGTATTTATCTTGCGCTTCTCTGAGTGTCTTGAGTGATGGATTTGTTTATCTTTTTGCAGGTTTCAGTTACACTGCTCATCCATATCTTTCTTGGTCTTCCACTCGCCCTCCTCTTAGATCTGCTTCTGTAAAAAGTCTTATATGCAATCTGGTCTGGCTGCAGTCTCACCAGATGGCCGATTTAGACATATTTCCATGGCGTGTGTGCGTGGCATCCTGATTGCTGTGGTGCGCCTCCTGGCTGGTTGCCTCCGACTTCAGCATTCGTCTTTCGCCTTTACCTCGTTTGTTGTGCCATTCAGTTTCCTGCTGGGGGTTGAGATCCCAACCTTCAACTGGATTGCTGGAAAGAACAGAGTCCACCACGTGAAGGTGAGGTAGGTTTGAGCAAGAGAAGCTAATAGACATTAGGAGTCTTGTATTGCGCATCATTGCTCCATTAGTATACAAGCAGAGCATACTTCCACACTTGGAATATGGGTCAACTGCATGGTGTTCAGCATCTAGTACCACATTAAAGGAGTTGGACAAAGTGCAAAATCAAGCACTCAGAGTCATCACAGGAGGGATGAAATCAACCCCATATTAGAAATGGAGAAAGCTGGGAAAATACAGGCACTGAGAGAACGCAGAGATACAAAGTTATAAATACAAGCTGAAAAGTTCCTCAGTATGCCAGATCACCCCATGAAAAATATATTTCAGAACCTAGCCTTGGGACGGTTAAAAAGAAGCAGCTTTATACATCAAGCAAAAAGAATATGTAGACAAACTGCTGACCTTCCAAAAATAGGTTGTCCACTTAACAGTATTCCAGAACAAACAGTACAAATCCAGACAAATGTGAAAGGGATATTTGACAAGAAAGAACAAGATAGTGTACAACACAGAATGGCCACCCTCAGTTAAATTGATGAAGAATACCCACAAGAACAATGGGTCAGAGTCTATACAGATGGGTCCGCAGAAAGTGCAGTTAGAAATGGTGGTGTTGGAGTGTACATAGAATTCACAGATGGTACTAGGGATAAGTCCAGCGTACCAACCGGGAAGTGCTGCCATAACTACGATGCAGAAACCCAGGCTATCAAGATAGCAACAGAAAAACTGCTAAATATCAACCTTGGCTCACAGTATGTGGTAATGCTGACAGATGCTAAATCCTCCAGTCTAGGAAACTACCAGAATTGCAAACACTGCTGACACAACTCAGCCTTTAGCGAAGAGTCGTAATGCAGTGGATACCGTCTTATTGTGGAGTGCCTAGAAATGAGAAAGCTGATCAACTGGCAGGGGAAGGTGCGACAAAAGTGCAGCCGGATGTACCAGTCATCTACCATCAAAAGAAAAGAATCATTAAATCGTTCAGGAAACCACCAGCCCCAGCACAAGACGACTATTTTATTATGGACAGACCAGAACAAGTCATTATCCTCCGCTTCAGAACAGGGCACAACCGATTACGTAACCACATGTACACAAAATTCAAGATAGGTGTATCAGCCATGTGCACCTGTGGAAAGGTGCCCCAGACAGCAGAGCATGTACTCCAGGACTGCACTGAATTTGACACATTAAGGCAAACCTTTTGGCCAGAAAGAACAGTGGAACGTAAACTCTATGGACCACTGAATGAACTAACAACGACAGTGAAATTATACAAGAGACAAAACTGCTGATATAGACAACTTATTTCAGGCGAACGAAAGAAGAGAAGAAAAAGACCAGATGGCCGAACCAGTTCATTCTTTACCCGTCAGTATAATCCATATATGGTCTCGTCTAGTTTCTTCTTCTTCTGCGTTCGACATCAGGCATGCTAAACATTGAGTCCCGTCTGGGTCAAAAATAGGATTTCTCGTCTAGTGTTGTTAGTGACCTTGCGGAGACAGTGCATTTCACATGTAGTTATTTTCTGTTCTATTGCCTTTGATTGCGTTAAAAATTTAGATTATTATTATGTGGAGCAGGCACTCAAATGATTGATTAACTGCATTACAGCTGGAAATCAATGATCTATTTGTTTCTTAACTTCTCAGAAACCAGATCCTCAATTTGAAGAAACCTCAAGATAGCAAGAAAATGGCGACCCTGGCGAAGAAGTGGAGGTCATGTACTTGTGCGGTCAGACTTGTCTCTCGTACTTCAGCGCCAAGACTGGCGGCTGTCCGAGCGATACGTCTGCCTGCTTCTCCCAAGTCAGTTTGTCACTTGCATTTAAAGTCTGCTCAATTGGTAATTGCAGTGTTTTTTAAAATGAATTTCTTGATCTCTTGTTGTTGTAAGAAGGAAAAATTAAAATGTAATACTTGAAGTTACTAATAAAATACATTTGAATTGAATCTAATGATCTAATCTGAAACCTGTGATTGTGATCAAAGACTTTTCAAAAGGGAAATCAAAATAAATAAATCCAAGATTAGATTAGATTTCCTACTAACCGGTCATGTATCATAGTGTATGTTATTTCTGATCGTGTGTGTTATTTATAACTGGTCGTGTATGGATGTTATTATTGTTATTTGTAACAAATCATGTAGGATCTCCTAACCGAGCATGTGTGTTATTAAGTGTTATTTGTAACTGATCGTGTGTGTTATTTGTAACTGGTCGTGTATGGATGTTATTTGTAACAAATCATGTACGATCTCCTAACCTAGCATGTGTGTTATTTGTAACTTATTGTGTGTGTTATTTGTATTCACAGCCTGCCATTTGTCAGCACATACAGACGTACAGCACTGCCACAGTTAATGTTGCATCAATTGAGGACAGGGTGGTGAAAATCTGCAAAGCTTATGATAAGATCAATGCTGACAAGGTAAGGTTATAGTACTCTGTGTGAAATTTTGAAGTCAGCATCTGTGTTGATTCCAAGGCCTCATTCTGATTCTGGGAGGCAACAGAATAGACTCCAGGACCCCATTTTGGGGAAGAAGGAAAAAAAAGGGGGGGAGGGTTAATCCACTGACTACCAGCGTCGCTTGTAATGCGACGAGGTGACGTTTACTTCCTTCTGCCAACGTCACACCCTTTGCAATTTTAGCTTTGGACGCTCGCCGTCATGTTAAAATCGCGATTTTTATGATGGATTTAGTTGAAACCTCTAGCTTATTCATTTCTGTATGGTTAATTAAGGGAAATAACTTTGTAGTGCTTGAAGTAAATATTTGACGAATTTTTTTAGTTAGCTCCCATGACGGTGAGACATTGATGAAAAATTCATCATGGCGTCAAATTATCGGACCCGTCGTGGTGGCCATATCTCTCCTAATTTTTCTAATGATGCATTCGATTTTCTTGATTTTGCTTCAAAAAGTGAATTTGAAGACACTTCTGAACAGTTTGACGGCTATTACTATAATAAATTTAACGAAGTGCCATTCAAAACATTGTCGACTGTAAAACGACAGCATGAAGCTTCGAAGTCAAGTCTGACAAAAACAGTCTTGTCGGCTGCAAGTACTGGTGCCGCAGTTTTTGATGCTGATAGTTCTTGTAAGAGTATTCAGTCAATGCCCACAGATTATAAAGATTTTGTGCGTGAGTCTGCACATGACGAAGATATCATTGCCGCTTTTGATTCAGAATCATCATCATCTAACGAGTCCGGAGAAGATGTGCCACGCCCCCAAATGGTTGATGACTGGCATTGTGATTTAGAAGGCTTTCCTGGAGTACCCCCATTTACTGGCACTTTTGGTTTATTTCTGCCAGCAGGAACAAATGAACCACTGAATATTTTCTTCAGTAAAGAAATTCTGGCTGTGTTTGCTAAAGAAACAAACCGTTATGCTGAGGCAAAGATTGGTGCGAAACCAGACACCTGTTTTCCCAAGAACTTGAAACACACAACCCCAAATGAAGTAACATGGTTTCTTGTACTGTTGCATCACATGTGTTGTGAAAAAGCCGTCTATTTCAGAATACCGGAGTCTATATCCATCTATCCACTCATCATTTGCTGCCACCATCACGTCACGGGGGCGTTTTCTATATATTGCTGTCAGATAACAGATTTGTCTGTTGCCTTTTCAGCACCATATCTACAGCCACATGATGATGATATAAAACAGTAAATCTACATATGTCTTGATATTTGTTATCTATTTAATTTGGTGCAAACAATATCAGATAGGATAAGTGATATTGAACAGTTGTGAAGCTGTGACATTTTTTGGGAGTCTGAATTATTGTCAGATAAAGGATTTTTCAGTTGCCTTTTTTGCAAAAATCTACAGCCACATGATGATGATGATTATGACAGACAAAGTAAAACCCATTTTTTGTCTTCACATTGTTCTCGGTTCAATTTTGTGCACAAATACAAAATGTAATATGTTTGTTGAATATTTTTGAAAAAAAATCATCACTATCAGTCTTTATTGTTGTCAGATAAAAGATTTTCAGTTGCCTTTTTTGCAACAATCTACAGCCACATGATGATGATGACTATGTCAGAGTAAACCTTATTTTTATTTTCTTTAAATGGGTTCTTGGTTTAATTTTGTGCAAAAAATACAAAATATTATACATTTGTGTTAAATATTTTTTGAAAATAAAACATTTTTATTAGTCTTTATTGTTGTCAGATAAAAGATTTTTCGGTTGCCTTTTTTGCACTAATCTACAGCCACATGATGATGATGCAAAACAAAATAAACAACTTTTTTTTCTTGAAATTTGTTCTTTATTCAGTTTGGTGCAAAAATACAAAATATTGTGTAATAAAATATGGCATTTTTAGTACACACTAAAATACGTGGTATCTGGGCAAATGCAAGGGTTAATGTGCTTGGTAGTCAGTGGGTTAATAAACATTCCATCGCTAACTTTTGTAATCCACCAAGTGTTACGCAAAAAGTGACTATTGAGGATTTGACTGAAGTCAGAAGTGTTGGGCCAGAATGTGTAGATATCGCATCCTAGCTCTAAATCACATCACAGCACAGCATACCAACCACCCTTTTTGGAGAGGAAGTACAGCCCTGCAACAGAGTGCTTGTTGATGATAGTTCAGTACCAAGTTAGAGGAGATTCTCTACACTAGCCCCAGTCTGATAGATCCAGGCCAGGCCCTCTGAAGGTTGCTGCAACCAACATGTCATTGTAGCAGATTAAAGAGCTAAAGTCTTTCAACTAGAATACTCCCTCTAGGCTTCTTTTTCCTCTTACTTATCCTTCTCCTCTTCTGCCCTTTATCCCCCCATTGACATGCAGACCCTCAACCACCTCATGCAATGTCATCCTTCACTTTAATATAAGATGCAACTCACCCCTTGCCTCCAGACTTACACTGTAAATATATAAAATATTGAATATATCAGTTGGAAATTTCGCTTCATCGTCATCTTCTTCTGCTTCTGTTTTTCCCCTTCTTCTGCTTGTGTTTCATCTTTCTTATCTTCTATCCTTCATTAGAAAAAGGGAAAACAAAACTAAGGCCAGTATCCTTGATGAAAGCTATTATCAACATCATGTTGCAGGTCAAGAACCTCGCTCTCATCACGATGTGTCTGAAAGAAACTCGGTCTCCTGGCCAGCTCCCCTCCCCCCCAACTTTTATATTCAAAGAGTCACTTATATCCTGTGCCCATCTTCATGTTGGTCGGCCCCAGCCTCTCCTTCCTTGTACCATGACTATGCTTTCTGCTATCATTTTTATCCTCTCCGCCATGGCGCTTGATATAACCAAAATATTTTAGCTTCCGAGACAAGATGCTGTTTATTATCTTCCTGATGTTCATATCTGTTAAAATGTCAGTTATTTCTTCTCTTCTTTGACCAGGGTATTTTGAGACAATTTCCATAGCATTTCAGCCCAAAAGCCCCTGTTTTCTTTCTTAAGGACTGGAAGATAGTCCTTGACTCGCATCCATATGTTCCAACAAGAAAGATGCATGTTCTCAAAGTTTTAATTTGGATTTCTTTGTTGGCACTTAATCATGAACATTTAATGCTATGGCTATCCTCCTTTTGATTTCTGTCAGTCTCCATTGCTATTTATTTTAGAGCCTGGATATTCAAAGTCTGTGACATTTAAAATTTCTTTATCAGTTTATTATTTTTGAGTAAAAGTCAGTTTTATCTGTGGGCATTATTTTCAATTTCTGTAAATTCAAGAATAGGTTTTAATCCTCACTGTTGAAAGCTATTATGCAGTCCAAATCTCCCTATGTACCATTAAAAAAAGGACGCTCCTTGAATATCAATAAAACATAAACAATGGTTATATCAAAGAAGAAAACTCCAAAAATTGACATAGTAATAGAACGGAAAGTACTTAACCAAGTCAGTAAATTCAAGTATTTGTTAACATTCAAAACATCAGATAGACAATGTGTGACATAAATTTAAAGTAGAAATGACCAAATGCAGCTTTTCAGAAAATGAAAAGTGTTTTGTCATAAATCACTCTCATCAAACATCAGAAAATGAGTATTGAAATGTTATTTCAAGCCTGTTCTGTTGTATGGCATTGAATCTTGGAATGTGAGCAAACAAATTAAGACTGTTTTAGAGGCAACTGAGATGTGATTCTTGAGAAGAATGTTGAGAATACCTTGGACTGTCAGAACAACCAACACTGGATGCCTAGAAATGGCTCATGGAAGTAGAACATTATATACAACAATGAGAAGGAGACAAACAAAGTTCTTAATCATGTAGTGAGAAAATGAGCACACTGCAAAATATTGTGATGACTGGAAAGATCACTGGTAGAGAGATAGAGGCAGACCAAGAGAAATGTTGGTGGATGGCTCAAGACAGTAGCATAGAGGAATGTCATCAGTAGAATTGATCCAGAACACCAAAGACCGAGATTTGTAGCCAGCTGGCAAGACACTTGATGCTGACGACCATGAATCTTTGTTTTGATTGAAGTTGGAAGTGACCAGATTGCCTCTCTGTCAGCAACATACAGTTGACAGTGTTGAAGTATGTACTCAGCCTCTCTGTCAGCAACATACAGTTGACAGTGTTGAAGTATGTGCTCAGCCTCTCTGTCAGCAGCATACAGTTGACAGTGTTGAAGTATGTGCTCAGCCTCTCTGTCAGCAACATACAGTTGACAGTGCTGAAGTATGTGCTCAGCATTTTCTAGTGCCAAGTGGCAGGGAAATTTCCTACGTGGACAAACTTGAACATGTGTTGGTGAAGCAGTAAAGTTGTTGATTGAAAAGAAATTATTAACCTGTCATTATTTTATGATTTTTCATTAGTTAACCTTGGACTCCCATTTTATGAATGACCTTGGACTTGACAGTCTTGATCATGTTGAGATCATCATGGGCATTGAAGATGAGTTTGGTAAGTTTGTAGCAAGTTCCGCAGTCACATTGGGGGGCGACAGGAGAGCATGCACACGTGCACGCACACAAACATACACACACACCTCACTCACCCACCTAACAAGCTTATCATAAAAGGCGACTAGTCAGGAGTTTGCTGAAACCGAATCTGTTGGGCCAACAGGTGCAGAAAACACAGCCTAGCTGTAAACTGCAATGCAGCGTGCCAGCTGACATTTTGAGGACTTAATGCAGAAGACACTTGAAGAGCTAAGACCAAGTTACAAGTTGTCGAGCTGTTACCCTCCCCCTTCTGTTTTAGCAGTGTTAAACTGTTACAGCCCTAAAGAACGAGAGGTCGACTATGCAGACTATATATAAACAGAAGGGCCTGTTTTCTTTCTGCCCTAACACTGCTAGGCATTCCAGGAGTATACGAAAATAAGACGCCGGTGTATAACTATTTTCTGTCTGCTGTTTTAACTTGTGTATATTTTCTATCTGCTGTTTCAATGTGTATATTTTCTGTCTGCTGTTTTAACCTGTGTCTGTTTTCCTTCTGCTATATATTTTTTCGTTTGCTATTTTAACTTGTGTATAACAAAGTGTATATTCTCTTCCTGTGGTTTATTTTGATGGGCAGCACAGTTTATTCTGTCCCTACTGTTTTTGCCACTTTATAGTAGAAATTCGTTTGTTCTCTTCTGTTTGAGCTGATGTCACAAAGTTTTATCAACCACTTTTGGGATAGTGTCATGCAGGGGGTTCATGAACCTGAGGAGTTAGGGCCACTTGACCATGTCGTCGCCACAAACTGCAGATTAGGATTTGTTTATCGCTCCTTATCCTTTACCAAGGATTTAACCTAGGTTCAATCCTTTACCAAGGATTTAACCTAGGTTCAATCCTTTACCAAGGATTTAACCTAGGTTACCCACGTCAGAGTCCAGTGCTGTAACCACTCAGTCAGCTGCTTGTTGATTCAGGAACAGGAATGCTGGGGCAATTGTAGCTGGACTCCATATCTTAGTAAACAGGCACATTAATCACAGTGATACCACATTCTTGATTTGAAAATGTTCATCTGAGTTCAGCTAGGCAAGTTTCAACAGGACAGCTTTCAAGACAGGCCCATATCAGCTCCGTCTCCCTTCTTAATAGCCAGCAGAGTCTTCATACTGATGGTAGCCATTGTCATCTGGTGAACTTCTCATCTTGCCTTTCCTCTTGAGTCTCAAGTGGCCATTGAGGTAAAGATTTAACATCATAGTATTCAGGTGAAGCCACATCAGCTTCTTCTCCCTCCTCAATATCCAGCAAAGAGTCCTCATAGTGATGGTAGCCATTGTCATCTGGTTAACTGCTTGTCTTGCCTTTTCCATTGGCGCCCAGTTAAAGATGACCATCCGGGTAAAGGCTCAATGTCACAGCATTCATGAGAAGCCCAAATCAGCTGCGTCTCCCTTCTCAAAAGCCAGCGAAGTCTCCCTCTCCCTACCAATGGTATTCATTGTCATATCTTAGGTGGCTCCCAGAGCCTGCAGGACCCCCCCCCCCCCCCCCCCCATTTCGCCAGGCTCTCTAGCGTAGTTGGCTAAACCAGATTGCGCAGAGACCGGGTGACGAACTCCTTGTGGTCCGGGTTCAATCCCGGGGGTAGGCAGGAAAGCCACATTTATCCCAAATTTACGGTATTTACAATGGAATTAAGGCCGAAAGGTTGCGATAAACATAATACCGAGCCTAAGAGTTAACAACTCATGGCTTCTGGATACTCCAACAAACAAACAAACAAGCAGACCCTTCCCACTGCATCATATACTTGTTTTCAGTATCTTCCATTGTACTTATTAACTTGTCACACAGGTGAGAAATCACCTGTGCCTTGTGAAGCTGCAGTAACCCCCCCCCCCCCCCTCCCAAGTGGGGCCCCTCCAGCCAGCTTATCTGCCTGCTCATTACCAAACATGCCTACATGGCCCAGCTAAAACATTCTTGTGACTCTCACTACCTGCAACCTCTGGATTAATGCAACCCTTTCCTTACAAAGACATGAAAATGTAAGAATGCTTGTTTATTGTATCCTCTTGCAGGCTTTGAGATTCCTGATGCAGACTCCGAGAAGCTGTTACGACCACGGGACATAGTGCAGTACATTGCAAACAAGCAGGAGGAGGATTGAACATAGATTTATTTTGTTAAAAGTTTTTGTTGCCGGTAAGTGGTTTCACATGATTGTAAAATTTTCGTGTTGTACGGATGAGAGGGAGTTGTGGTAGATCCTTATCTGCCAGCCGAAAGGTCTTAGGGTTAAAATTTGTGTGGAGGCAGACATTTTTCAAAATTAACTTTGGCTGTCTGGTCACCAGGGCCTAAAATGGGTCCTATATTGTTAGACCCGTCAGCAATTGGTGGGTGAGGTAGTCAGCTGCTTTTACTTCCCATGACTTTGTTCATCGTTGATTTCTAGTTTAAATTTGTTTCTTATTCTTCTCAAAATTATTTTTAGTAAAATCTTAGTCATGTGACTCATAAGACTTATTGTGCGATGGTCTTCACAGTTTAAAGTGCCTGGTTTCTTTGGCAGAGCTATAAATATGGATTTTAAAAGGTCATTTGGAATATACCCACTATTATAAATATCATTTGAAAGTTTAGTTATTATTTCAATTCCAAAATCTCCCAGTGCTTCGATATCTTCCAGTGAGATGTTGTCTGGCCCGGGTGTTTTTTCTTTTTTTATATGTTGCAATGCACCCTCAACTTCTGCAGTCATTTTTGGTGGACCATCATTGTTGGTCTGCAGTTCTACATCTGGACTGTTACATCATACAATTCCCCTATACACTCTGTCCATCTTTTAATTATATTGCTATGTCCTATTAATAAGTCACCATCTTTTGATTTTAAACATCCAGTGCTGTTACGTGTCATCTTTCCTGTTAACATGTTTATCTGTTCGTACATGGAATGTGAGTCTTTCCTGTGATTTTCTCTTAACCTCTGTACACATTTGATTCAGCCAGGCTTCTTTAGCCACTTTGCATTTGTTCACAATTTCTCTTATTCTAGAGTATTCTTCTTTATCATTCTCTTTCTTCCTTCTTTCATCCATCAACTGCAGAATTTCGGTTGACATTCATTTCTTTTTTTGCAACTCTATGGGTTGGTGGGATTGTGTCTTTTGATGTCTGCTGAATTGACTCACGCAACATATCCCACTGTTCATCAATAGTCTGTATAATTTCCTTTGCATTATACCAGTTTTGTACAGTGACATTGTACTGTTCCTTAATTTCTTTATCCGTTTTAAGTATTCCCAAATTTAACATGATGTTCAGTGGTATTTTCTTAATATTCTTTAGTAAATAAGTAAATAAACTGGGAGTAAATTGTGAAGTCGTGTGTTGTCTTTTTGTGTATTTTCAGAATTACAGTATTCATTGCTGTGATAGTATGCCGTTTTATTTGTTTCAGAATTATTTGAGTTTCTGTTGTGGACAACTGCGTGTGTGGAGACTCCTTCAGTGCATGAGAAGGCTGCTGTGATTCAATCAAGTTCACATTTGCCCTGTTGATCAGTAGCTTTCCCTCTTCGCTTGATTAATGCCAACCTTGAGGTGATGCCACTTGCTACAAGGCTACACAAGATTTAGATTGATATGATATTTGTGAGCTCCGTCATGGAGATGCTGGCAAGTTTACTTTGACAGATTATGCTGTAGAATGTCAGTTACTGTGATCTTCATTGAGTATAATAAACAGTGGTTTGATATAATCTAGATTTTTTTTCCTTTTAAATCTTATATGACTGGTTGAAGAAATGAGAAGGTTTGGACTGAAACCAGTTCACTAAAGCCCAGCAGATGAGGTGTTTTGGTCATCTGACAAGAATGCCTTGATAACAACTGCCACAGAAAGCCTAGCTGAAGAAATACAATGAACACACAACGTGCAGTTCCTATTGCAAACGATGGAATGACAAGAACAGCCTTAAGGAAAAGAAATGGTCAACTTAGTGAATTAGAAAGAGCATTCATGATCCAACTGCGGCCCCAACCCTTTAAAAAAAAATTCCCTTCCATACTAGTTATCTCAGGTAACGTAGTTGTAATTGTTACTATTGTTGATCAATCTGTCATCATCATCATCCTATTGTGCTGCTATATGTCACATAGGGCTAACAGTATAGTTCTCAATCCCCTTCTATCCCGTGTGCAGTTCTGTCAGTCCAGTACCTTTGGATTCCTAACAACATTTCTTTTATGTTTCTGCTGGACATCCTTGTGTCCTCAATTCATTTGTTTCCCATTTCATTGCCTGTTTATTCCTTCGAAGTTGGAGTGCATCTGCGTGAGAGGCCAGGAACCAACAGTCTGCATACAAATAAGCCAGATCTGTCAATCAGATGTGCACACAGAATTAAGTTTTGGAACAGGACCCAAGCCCAGAAATGGATGAACTACCAGAACTTTCTGCCAGAGTGTATGACTGATGAACTACCAGAACTTTCTGCCAGAGTGTATGACTGATAAACTACCAGAACTTTCTGCCAGAGTGTATGACTGATGAACTCAAAGAAGTTCCTGTTGAGTGATTCTGTCCGCTTCTCCTCATGACGTCACCAGAAATATACCACATTCTTTGTCCTATACCCGTTGATACCAGTGGTTGTCCAGCTGTTGCTCTTATTTTTTCACCTGTCTTGAATTCACTTAATTTAATTGACCCGATCCACTCTAGTACTTAGCCTTTACTGTTCCATGCAACAAAGATTCCATTGCTCAGGGGTTCAAACCTCTATGAAGGCGGGGATTTCTTAACCTTTTATCTAGGCTTTTGTGTCAACCCAAATTTAAATGGCTGCTAGGCAATGTTCTGTGAAATAAAGATAGTGGTTGTGATATCGACCAACCCCTTAATCCACAGATTGATCTATAATATATGGAATCGGTGACAAAGGTTAACAATTTGATGATACTCAAGTACTAGGGTTAGTTTCCCGTGGTGGACAACGAACAAATCGTTCTCGTGGTTTTTTAGACGATAATGGGAGTCGAGTCGTGGTGGAAGAGATAGGGACTTCACCACAATATTGGCAAAGATAGCAGGTTTGCGGCAGCCAACCTTCGACGCAGAATTTTTTTTTCACATTTTACATATGGAATCAACAGCCTATGCCCATATGTCTTAACTTTTTCGGACCTAGAAGGAGATGGCAGTGCAAAAAAAAAAAAAATGACCATGATGAAAAAATAATTGCTGCATTAATTTCAAAATGGCAGTATACATACAGGTAATTACCAGTGGGGAAGCCAGATTTGTTCGCATATTCTGACTAAATGATGTAATTAAGAGACCATAGTGTGCTATGGAGGTAAATCAAAGGATAGTCACTCACACACCAGCATTGCTTAGGATCTAAAGTTAAGATATGGAAAAGTGTTTCATTACTGTTTTTGTTGCCTGTTTATTCCATGCCAGTAATTCAGTAATAAAGAAAAGTGTCTTCGAAATTTAGCGCACACAAACAGTTTTGCTGATGAGTGTTTCAGAAAGTTCTCTTTACGGTAAACCAGATTTCCTGCCTTCTGTTGCTGTCAGGTGTAAATAATAGATTATTGCAAGGGGGATGGTTGCACATATACATATCTATGCTCAGGAACACAGAAATGGGCAGGGTCTGAAGACAGTGGTTGGAGTCTCTCAGGGTCGGGGCTGATGCATGAGTTTCATATTCATGCCAAGGCACACAGGCATGCAAAGAAATAAGCAAGTTGATAGGCTTGCAGGTAAGGTTACCATAGTGGGTGGACGTGCCATGGACCAGGCTGATACAATGGATACTCTATGAGAAGTTACACCTCTGTGAGAACCAGATGATGCAACCATGACCAGACTGCAGAAACCGCATGTTAAAAGGCATGTAGCCAGACAAGAGCACTCTTCAGGAAGCCAAAGAAGAATAAATCCAACACAGGACTGGTATCAGCCGCTGCATGTGCAGGATTTACTAAGAATCGGATCTGAGCAATTTTGGACTGAATGGTTTGATGTGCAGTGACATGTACTAGGCACCCCCACCTCACCAACGCGCACACAGACATACTGAGAAAGAGATCGAGCAAACAAATACATTTCTTATTTGTAAAGGGCTACAAACTGGACATGCAAGCCCATCTTATATTTGGCCCTTCCAAATACTCAAAACAGAGAGAGAGAGAAAGTGTAGGTTAGTTTAAGAGATAATCAAATCATCTGAGAAAGAAACAAAAAAAGGCGGAATTTGTGTGAAATTTATTCATCCTTCAAGCACACGCTCCAAGGCACACACAAAATAATAATAATAATTACACAATAAAACCAACTACAACAATAATACTATTACAGTGATTGTGTGAAAGTCACATTATCAGCAGCCATAAAATCATTATGTTGAGAATATCTGTCCCTGTCTCATGATGCTCTTCACAAACATTAACATGAGGTTACTAAACTGGAAGAAATTAGTAAACACACAGAGTACAGAAAGAGAGTCGCAGCGGGGTAGCTCCTAGATGCTCACGCGCGAATCAGAAGGTCGTGGGTTTGCTCCCTGGTGGAGCCAGATTTTTTCAAAAATGACCTTGACTTCCAGGTCGACCCAGCCTTGAGTGGGTACCGGGTGCAGTCCCGGGAAGTAAAGTCGGCCGGAATGATGCTGACATCACCCATCTTGTGCCGATTGGTCTATAAAAATTTAGGTCTAGCCCTATATGTCTAAAGGCGTGGAAAAGGGTCCTTTACTTTTTTTTTTTAAGAGGGCAGAGGAAAGGATGTACACAAGCACAACTGAACATTTCAACCAGTATTTGTCAAAGAACAAAACAACAAAGTTATGAGCACCTGATAAGGTCAATAGGGAACTGTGCCCTTTCCTTTCATCTGAGCTTTCTATACATAGTTTTTGGGTTCAGTTACTTTTTAATGTTTACAGAATTGTCCACTTAGAGAACCTTATGTGCGAAAATTAGTAAGTAATGGAAGCAGAGAAAATAGGGAAGACTCAAACCAGCTGGGTAGCAAATGCGGTGCTCAACAAACAAACAAAACCACATCAAAGTAACTTTTTCTGTCCCCAACAAATCAACATCGATGCTCAGTCTATGTGTCTCAACAGAACAAATGGTGTGTTATTATTTC